AAATAAGGTATAGGGGTAAATGTACCAACGATGTACCTTTTAGCTTTTGTAACTATCAACACTGGGGGTTTGCAGCTTTTAGTCTATGTCTGTCGGTCTTGTGCTAATGTATAGTAAAGATGCTAGTGTTCGTATGCACGTTTCAATTTTGAGGAAGTCAACAATATGAATGACTCATTTTGCATGTAGAGGCATTTTGTGGACTAAAATGCTGTTTAGTATGAGCATGTTTCTCCCTCTAATAGCACCTGCCACTAAAATAGCTGGAGAGAGCTATCCATTAACGTTCCCATTCATCTCAAAGGCAGTTGCTCAGTTGGCACATGCACCACCCAGGAGTATGTGAATTGAAATAATTTGCATCGTAAATATCATGGGAATAATTACTCTGGAGCTGCAGGAAAATTACATCAGGACACTGATTGGAACCCATGACATGCCCAAATGTTTAATTAGGAAATACCATACATGAGCAATAAAGAGTGAAACAGAAAACTGTGATCGCCTGATGATAACATGAGATCTTTAAAGACTCCGTCTGAAAGGTTTTCTCATCAGTGAAGAGTGTCGTCTGATCAATATAAGCAATTTAGCAATGTGGCAGAGTGTCACTGAGTTAAATAACTCCATTAGCTGCAGAACCAACACAATCCTTTTGTTGAGAGCCTGTCCTGATGCCTGGTGCTTTAATAGATATATTGGAAGAATCAACATAATCATTTGTTCTGTTCTGTTCTGTTCTGTTCTGTTCTATTCTATTCTATTCTATTCTATTCTATTCCTGACTGTTTCAGGTTATACATTAGAATAAATAATTTATTAATAATTATATTTTTTGCATCAATTGATGTATATATATATATATATATATATATATATATATAGTTTGTTAATGTTCAAGTTATAATATTATTATAATATAATAATATTACTAATATATATTATTTATTCATATTATGTAATTCATATATATTATATATTCACTCTTTTCAGCAGCCAGTAACTTCTTTCAAAAACATTCCTCAAAATGATTCATTTAACTGTACAACTGTTATTAAATCTCAAATCTGTCAGACAGGAAAATAAATATTCCCATAGAGAGATTCCACAATATTTAGCTGAAATCGATCAGTTATTCAGATAAACTGACGTTACATCAAAAACAACCTGACTAATACACTAACATCATCGTGTTGGCAGAGAAAGAGCTTGTAAAGTGTTTAAAATCAATTTTTGTTGCATAGCTCTGGCCTTTTCCTCAGATAGCCTGTCCCCATGAGTCTCTATGACAACCATATGCTCACAGCCAGCACTAATACAGACACACTGCGAGCATGTAATGAAGTGTGCATCAGTACAACCATTTTTATTACTCACTCTCACACTTTTAAGCTCATTGCATAGGTATACAATGTATGTGAGCATGTGTGAGTATTATAATATATTGTATATTCTATTCATCAAATAATCCTGAAAAAAATTGCAGTTCAAACAAAAATAGCAGCACAACTGCACAACTTAAGCAGCATAACTGTTTTCAGCATTGCTAATAATTAATGTTTCTTGATCAGCAAATCAAAATATTAGAATGATTTCTGAAGGATCATGTGACACTGAAGACTGGAGTAATGAGGCTGAAAATTCAGCTTTGTATCACAGCAATAAATTACATTTGAAAATAAAAACAGTTATTTTAAATTGAAACAATCTTTCACAAGATTACTATTTTTACTGTATTTTTGATCAAATAAAGGACAATAATTAGATTCAGTGAGCATACAAAATGCCTTTCAAAAACATTAAACAGTCCTAATTATTCTAAACTTTTGACCAATAGTTTATACATTTACATAAGCTCTTCTCTATGCTGACAGCAGCAGATTGTGAAAAAGACGTCAAATGCGACACAAGTACAAGGGACAGTCATAAATGCCTGATACCTGATGTAATGAAATCAGCAAGTTGGTCAAATTCCTCGCTGTACTGAAGAGAAAGCATCCTGTGAGCTCTTTTGTCTGGTTTATGTGGCTTTCTCTGGCCCAATTTCCTTTTAAAAGAGAGCGATTCAGATGCGCTTTAGAGAAAATTATATTCCTCTTTTATCAATGATCTCAGCGGCAGTCACAACATCTATTCCCTCCCGTGTTCTGCAAGGACAATATGACAAACTTCCCTTTGACGTTAACACTCCTTTTGATCTTTCAGATGATTTGTGGCAAATGATGGCATAGACCACCACGGTCAAGATCTCTGAACACAATGCTGTGATGACGTGCAGCTCGATTAACGCACACAGACAGAAGCTGTCAGATGAATAAGCAGCACTTCAACAGGTATGAACAGTGAAAAGCCTTGCATGATATTTCAATAGAGTAAACCAGGTGAACTCAGAAGTGTTCCCCAGTGAATAAAACCGAGCACAAGAGGCCACACTCAAGAAATGTCCACATTATTTAATGCCCATGAAGGCCATTCGATTAATGCTTTCTTGTTATATGACTCACATAGCACTGTAATAGTTTTCAGTTGATTTTTATTTGGACAAAAATTAAATGTTTGATGACTTGGTGGTTCAATAAGTGAGAATGCTTGTTAGAATGATTCAAACTAATAACTTAGGAATTGGTGAGTCATTAAAAGTGTGTGGTCTTTGTTTTATGTCAAGCTTTCTGCTCATCATTACATTTGATAGCAAGCTCAAAACCTAAAATATATTGTAAAATAAGGTGTGTGTGAAGCAGATTTTAGTTTTGCTACATCAGTAGTTGCTACATTTCAGTCTTAGTAACAACACTTAAAAAACATTTTTCAAAGAAAAAATAAGACAACTATTATTGGAGTATGTTTTATAAGAAATACTATTTCAGTCTTCACATTTATTTCAGTATGTAACTTGAGGTTTATCTGTGGTATTTACTAATTGTAAATTAATTAATAATTGTAAATCTTTCACCAAATCTTTTTCAGTCTATTAATTTGAAACAAACTCTTCACTTTAAAGGGGTCCTATTATGCTTTTTCACTTTTTAAATTTTAGTCAGTGTGTAGTGTGTATGTTTGGGCATAAAAAAGATCTAGAAAGTTACAAATCTCAAAGTCCACTCCAAAGGGAGATATTTCGTTTTAAAAAAATCCCTTTTCAAGAACTACAACGAACGGCTCGTTTGGACTACAGCGTTGGTTTCCAGGCTTTGTGATATCACAAAGCGGCCCATTAGAATATCATAAAATATAATTCCCGCCTACAGAAATTCGAATGGTTGGGGGGTGGGGAGGGGCGAGGTTGTGGTTAGAAAAAACGCTGTTTTTTTTCACCTCCGTGCCCAAACGTCTTTGTTTGTGTTTCCGAAAGCAGATGATGTCAGGAAACAGTGGTTGCAATTTATTTTTTAACTCTGTTCCTGAGCATGGATAATCCTGCAGCTCCTTGATAAGGAGGTGGAACTCTCCTTGAATTGGATGATGGATCCAATATTTCCTTCCTTTCTTTTTCTATTTTTAAGAAGAGAGAGGACAACACAATCATCCTCACTGCTTGAAGACTCCATTTTGTATTGTTTTGCGAATTTGTTCGCAACAGATTAATTAATACGCATCGGACTCAGTGTGCAAGGTTTCTGTGCGTGACAAATTTTTAGGATGACGAATACGAAAAAAATGCATATGAACATTTCTGACTCAGTGTGCAAGGACCTTTACTCACCAATGAATCCTCTGCAGTGAATGGGTGCCGTTAGAATGAATGTCCAAACAGCTGATAAAAACATCACAATCATCCACAAGTAATCCACACAACTACAAGACTGGAGTAACGATGCTGAAAATTCAGCTTTACACTACATGAATTAATGACATTTTAAAATATATTCAAATAGAAAAGAGTTATTTTAAATTAAAATAATATTCACAATATTGTCATTTTTATGTATTTTTGATTAAATAAATGCAGCTTTGGTGAGTATAAGAGGCTTCTTTAAAAATATTTAAAAAATCTTACCCACCCCAGACTTTTAAATGGTAGTATTCGTTTGTCAGAATTAAAGTGCCCCTATTATGCCATTTTTATGCCATTTATTGTTTTGGGAGTCTCCTACAATAGGATTACATGCATGCAAGGTCAAAAAACGCTTTTGTTTTCTCAAAATATGCTTTTAATATCACCTCATTTTCCAACGATTCGTTCGAAGCAGTTGTAAGATTCAGTCTCTCTAAACCCCTCCTTTCCGTGAGCTACTCTGCTCTGATTGGCCAGATGGCCTAGTCTGTTGTGATTGGTCTACGGCGTACAGCACGTGTCGGAAACGATACGCCTATTTTAATAGTTCTGTATTTTGAACGCTCTGTAGAAAATATAAACATCTATTATTGATCATACTTACAGGTTGTGATTCAGTGGAGCAGCTGGTCCAAATAAACAGGATACTGATCCATCTTTCAACAGCAAGCGTTTTGTGAATCCCGCGTTGAGCTCCCCGAGATTAGAGAAGCAGTCGTCAGTAGAATGACGTGTTTGTGGGCGGGGTCAATTTGTTCGCGGCCGGCCAACATAGAACATAGGTGCGCATTATGCAAATGTGTTACCCCGTGACGTGCAGCCGTCACGGAAGTGGGATCGAATTATTAACGACTCGTTTCAGCTGTTCAGAGTCGATTCTTTATTTTGGGAGACAATAACTTTATTTATCGTGCACTTTCAGCTTTACAACTTTGCAGATCGTTTACATTCACAGACAGCTACATTACACACTACATGAAAGGCAATATTGGAAATGGCATAACAGGGGCACTTTAAAGTTTATCAGGTAATACATAAACTCACTGAAATAAACCAATCGACTCCAAGTTGGAGACTTGGAGTAAATATTTTGTAAATATTTAGTTTACATTGGATCACTAATCAGCTTAGTTTAATGTTCAGTTTAATGCTCATTTACGCACAGCTAAGCTACACAGATTTTTTGTCCCGTCTTAGTGATTCTGCTTGTCCCGTTCTGTCCTAGGTATGAATTCAAACGAAACATATGCAGACGAGCCCAGCAAAAACACATGGGGCATGATTTTCCTCTCCCTCACGCTTTCGTTTCTTGCTATACTGACGACAGCCATGAACTGCTTGGTCATTACAGCCATCATCGTCACACGCAAGCTGCACCATCCCGCAAACTATCTCATTTGCTCACTGGCCGTGACCGACCTTTTGGTGGCCGTATTAGTCATGCCCTTCAGCATTGTCTACATTGTGATGGAGACGTGGGTCATGGGTGAAGTTATGTGCAACATCTGGTTAATCGTGGACATAACCTGCTGCACGTGCTCCATTCTGCACCTAGCGGCCATCGCTGTGGACCGATATCGTGCCATTACAGACGCCGTGGAGTATTCGAGAAAGAGGACATCTCTACGGGCCGCCATCATGATCAGTGTGGTGTGGCTCCTCTCGATAGTAGTCTCTCTGCCACCAATGCTATTGAGGGGCCACAAAAAAAACGAGTGCATCATTAAACATGACAACATCGGCTCCGCGCTTTACTCCACGTTCGGGGCTTTTTACATCCCGCTAATACTCATTCTCATTCTCTACTACAAGATCTACCGAGCAGCGAAGACTCTTTACAACAGGAGAGCCAGTTGCCTCAACAAGCCGGAGATGAACGGACACATGCTTCCCAAGTGCAGCGACCAGGAGCCGACGTCCCCGGACACCCTGAGCCCTCCGGAGAAATCGGTGTCTGAACCCTCCACCGAAGGCGACAGAGTGCGCATCGCTGCGAAAAGCCCAAAGTCTCAGTCTCGCAGAGAACGGTCCATCAGGAGACGTTGCATCTCCAGCACGCATGAAAAGAAGGCCGCCACCACTCTGGGACTCATTCTAGGGGCTTTTGTCATCTGCTGGCTGCCGTTCTTCATCAATGAGGTGATTGTTAACATATGTAAGTCCTGCACTCCATCTCCTGAGATGACCAACTTTCTGACTTGGCTGGGCTATCTGAACTCTCTCATCAACCCGCTGATTTACACCATCTTTAATGAGGATTTCAAAAGGGCTTTTCAGAAGTTAATCAAGTGCAAGAATTATCTCTAACACCAATGAAGGGATTGCAAAAGAGAAAAAAAAAGAAACCTTCAAAGAACTTAATTAAATCAAGCAATTATTCGGCACAATTAAATATAGTCTTTTAAATGAAATGTTTTGTTGCTGTTGAGAAAATTAGATTAAGTCTGAACAACATAATTTTGTTATGTCTGAAATGCCTGTGATGCAATGAAAATGAACAGGACCATGCAACAAATCAGATGACATTCATTGTCTAAAGAATTTACTCTACTTTCACGAAATATTACTGTTATGTTAGTATATTAAAATGTACACATTTAAAAAAAAAAATTCAAGTTTTTGTCTTATCGAACATTGGCTATTGATCAGTATCAGTAAATGGTAAAGACTTGTTCACACCTTGCATGCCAATTATAATTATAACGATAAAGAGTTTTAAAAATTGTTCTAAAATTAAAAGAATAGCAGATTCTGCAACACAACTATTACGATAATGACACAAAGGAATGATAATCACTTTCAGAATGATTTTTTTTTTCCAGCTGTTGAATGATAAACTTTCATGTAATTATGCATAATTTACTGTTATTACTACAATAAGTACATGTAAGGTGGAACAAGGACACTGTAAAATAAAGTGCTACCCAGTAATCAATATCAATAATATTTTATTGATAGTTTTTTCCCTCTGGCATATAGTAACAAATAGGAAATATTCATATTTTAATTCAATAGAGTGGTGAACTACTTGAATAGATAGATTACAGATCGATGAACATTTTATTTTAAAAAGGCAGATGAAAGTGATTCATGTAGCTCAATTTAAATTGATTCCATGCAACTATTAAATGAAACTAAAACTGAACAACGTAAAACCAACTCATTTTTCGATTGTAATATAAAATACCTGCAACAAACTGTGTAACTTCAATAGTTCTGTGAGGCAGAAAGGTAACTGCCACTTTTCATACATTTTCACAAATGTCTTATGTTCAGATAGAAATCTGTATATGCAACTAGATTAGTTAGAGCTGAACAATATTTTGTGGGTTTTAACATTATAGATTTCAAACAAACCTTAAAGTTTGTATGTGAAAATCATACTATTTTTCATAAGAGGAAGAAATTCAGGGTAACACTTTATAAAAATGTCCCATTTAGCTGACATTAGTTAATGCATTAATTAACATTAGCTAACAATGAGCAAGTTTATTAATCTTTGTTAACATCATTTAATTAAAATACAGTTGTTCATTGTTGGTTTGTGATAGCTCAAGTTCAAGGGGTCATATGATGCTGCTAAAAAGAACATTATTTTGTGTATTTGGTGTAATGAAATGTGTTTATGTGGTTTAAAGTAAAAAAAACACATTATTTTCCACATACTTTACATTATTGTTTCTCCTCTATGCCCCGCCTTTCTGAAACGCGTCGATTTTTACAAAGCTCATCGGT